TTTCCTTACAATATTAGTATCGTTGCAGGAAAGTGATTGCGTGGAATAATGATTTTGATATTTTCAAGAGTATTTTCATTTCAAATTTAAACAGAATAAATTTTAAATATATTTTAAGTCAATCTAAATAAAGTTCATAGTATGTGTAAATGCATAAAAATATTATAGTAATCTTTATGATTTTTACTTTCCTTAATGGTAGATAGATATTTTATTCTTTGTGAATATTCGACTTAAGATAGGATTTTACAGCTCAGCTTAAGTACAGAATTATTTTTCGTACTGTGCCATTAATATTGCAAGGAACCAAATACTTACAAAGTTGATTTAAGTCATTACGTTGTACTGTGTATGACGTTTCTAATTTGTTTTTAAGATAATGTGAATTGCAGCTTCAAAAATGAATTTTGGCATTAATTAAGTTAGTGCCCACATATTTTTTTCCCTATTGAACATAGATATTTGATTGTATTTTCTATTTTCTTTTTTAAATGTTTGTTTCTAATTGCAAAACGAAGATAACTGCATTACAAGCTGCCTAATGTATAGTTAGGGTAATAAAATGTTAAAATGTGTCCTCTCGCATAGAAATGAATTCATGGAAAATGTGTTCCAGCGTCTAACCAAAATCAGATCATTACGTAAGTGACATGCACAGTCCATCCCTTTTCAAAACAGTATGCAGACAAGTATAAGAACTATAAATTTCCGGAATAATAAACATCAGTGTCAAGATCTTCGATTTAACTCTACTTGGTAGAGCACAACCCAGATGACGATGAAAGGTTTATAGTTCAAAAGAAATGTAGAGAAAATATTTATTCCACGTACTAAAGAGGAGTCATTTTTGAGGTTACGAGTTTGGGAAAGTGTATTCACTTTCTCAAATGTTCTTCAACTTCTAGAAGAAGGTAAAGGATAGAAGTCATAGCCGTCTTGTGAAAATCGCTATATTTTAGAGAAAACGTAAATTGTAAGTTTGAAAATATTTTTTTTTATTTATTCTTTGAGGAATATATGAAAAATAAAAAAAGAATAAAAGCTTACTAAACATGACGCCTCCAAAAGAAATATTTTCTACTAAGGTAAAGTTTTCTTCTTTTACTAAAAAATGTAATATATTTCTTCCACTCTGGTTATTAAGATTGAAAAATAGTCATGATTATAATAATTTTTGGCACCGCTCATAAATATTTATTAATTTATCTTCACTGAGTTAATTATGAAAATTGCATGAATATATAATGACAATTAAGTAAATACAAAATTTTAGTAAAGTTTATAAAACTACTTGCATAAATAGAACAACCCTCAGAATATCTTCATCAAAATGCCTGACGTCTGAGAAAAGCTGAATTCAGTAAAATTTTAACTAATTTACTAAAAGAAATATTAATTTACATAATAGGGGGAAGAATCTAATTAGTTTAGGTTAAAAGCAATAAAGAAAATTGAATTTCAAATTCAGAACGGGGTTAAAAAATTTCACTGCATGTTTGAAAAAATATTGTTATAATTTTTGTATTTAGTTTGCTATTTCTAGTAGAAATGTTATTAAATTGCTTCATTTCCCCATGCAATACTGCGTGCGACAAGTTTAAGAGAAAGCTACGAGAAAAAAGTAAAAATATAGGAGCACGGGCATTTAACATTTAATAAATAGATATCTCGTAATTGTACTCTTTCGCTACCCAGAAACATCGAGAAAATACCAAAATGTTCTTGTGCATGATTAACAAGTTTATAAAATCCGGATTAAAATATCTCAGTTCAGTTGTTTACTTAGCGCTGTTATTGATTGTAGCGAATTTTTTCTGCGTTTTTTTTTAATTGTGTTCTATTTAACGTTTTAGTAGTTCAAAATATAACTACTGTGGGATATTGTAATATTGTACGGATACCTCTGAGGAAATATTTCAGCATTTTGCTTTATTTCTCGTGATAAAATAAATTTTATTAACTTTTTATCGACTTGTGCATTCAATCCTTTACAAACCCGCACGCAAGCAAAAATATTTTAATTATTTCATTCCATTAATTTAGCCTGAATTTGAATTTGGAAAATAGACCATCTAAATTTATTTATGTTAAAAATGATATTTATACTAACATCGAGCAGTTAATGAATGCTAATTTTTAATGGAGATAGTTAAAAGGTAGAAAATGAAACATTACAGCAAAAATATTCATTGAATAATAATTTAAGTTTCTCAGTTAGGATCGTAATATGAATTAATGAAAAATTATTTGCTAAGTAATATGAAAATTTAAACCAATCTACGCAAAAGGGATTTCAAACGAGATTAAAATTTTTATACTGAAAATTACATATAAAAATCCTTGAAATACACATTTATGGTAGGTTTTAAAAATTTATCCAAAGGTAACACAGACTTTCGGTCTTTAGCGTTTTTATAGAATTTGTTAAAAGAAATTTTCATCCAGCAAATATAATTAATTTAGGAAATCGTCCGTAACCGGCTTGACAGTTTTATGCTTACATATACCGGAGGTGCAATTAGTATCGAAAGATACCTTTTAATCCATATGTGTATCATCCACCCAAACACAAGTACCTCGGAGCCCGAATTTTGAATTTCAAATTTGTTTTCAATTTCATACATATTTTGTGCAAACTTAACAAATTTTTCTTCAGCAAACTCGGCGGCTTGCAAGCGAGAAATGGAAACATGGCTCGAAATAAACCTATTTATCCATGTAGGTTAGAATAGATGGAGTTAGCCTTCTCCGTATGTCCCAATGTGCATATTTCGTAAGTGCACATCGGTATCGGCAGAGGGAGTGGCTTCTAGAATTGACCAATCGGCTTCCAGTAATATTTCTGTCATTTCACATGTCCTTTGCCGTGCTTTTAAACAAGATGGTTGAAACTATTTTGCCACACAATTTTTTGTACAAAATAATTAAAGCATCGTAGATTTCTTGTGACAATTTTCAGTGAGAAGTTAGATCAAATATACGTATAATTATATATGTACATAATGTAAGTCTTAGGACTTTTTTATTGCAGTCTATATGAAAACCATATTCCATAATAATAACGAATGCACAGTTTTATTCAAAATTAACTTTCCTAATTTGCCTTCCTACACATTTAGGGTGTTAATTTGCACATTAATCCCTCTATTGCCTGCACAAGATATACTCTTCAAACATAATGAATTTATGTTCAACACAATGAATATATTTAGTTTATTCATGTAGAAGTTTTAGTGTTACCAATAGGTATAATCAAATCATTCACAATATATAATTTGAAACTTACACTTTCAAAATCAAAGGAATTAAAACATTGAAATAAGATAATACTACATTCTTTGTAATACTTCCAGTTATTCTCAGCTCAGTCAAAAATTATACACTTGAATTCTCTTAATCCATAGGTGTTAGTAAATGCATAATATTCGAGGCTAATTGCACCTTGAGTAAATTTTTCGATGCAAAGAGTAATAATATGCCACCAACATTAATCCGAATATCTGTGTGTGATACGTTTCGCGAAGTGAAATGTTGATGATTAAATAAACTTATAAAATCAAAAGCACTACGAGATTTTTTACTAACCCGATGGGGGAATATATACGCCATACACTTATAACTGCGAAACAAATACAAAATAAAACGTAAACAACAAAACACGCCCATATGCGCAAAGATTCAGTGTCACAAGAAATATTAGACCTTATTGGTCCATGTTTGAAACCCTTCCTTCAGTGGCGATAATGATGTGCACTTATGAATTATCCGTCCTGTGAAATGAAAATGAAGTCATAAAACATCACGGTATGACGTCACCACTTATCATGACCCATAAACGAACTTTGTTTGCATTTTAATCGGCATTGTTTGCATGTTAACTATTCAATACTAAACGTTTACAAGTCTCCCCTTCTAATTTTAATAGTTAACATAAAATATTTTTAACTCAGTATATACAAAGATTGCAAACAACTTTTTCAAATTTATTGAAGTCTAAGTACATGAAAATGTGTAAATGGTAACTAAGAAAAACAAATGTACACATGATAAAACCTGGAAGATCATTGGAAGTTTAAATGGTATTTTATGCGAATTATTCCTAAAAACACATTTCTTAATCTGCTTAAGTTGATATTTTCTTTCAAATTCAGTGTAAGTTTATTTAACAATATGTTTCGTAGTCTTACTCGTACGCTGCATGTCGGACATGATAAGAACTGCATCACGTTCCTAATATTTCCTTGGCTTCAATTTTGTGACGTCATGCTTACACCCTCTATTCTAACTTCCATGTATTTATCATTTCAGCGCGAAAGACTGCTGCCATTTGTTAAAATATAAAATATCTATCTTTCAATTTCAATCCACAAGTTCGGACATTTGAAAACAACGTATGGCCACCACCTCAAATAGAATGCTTATTGTCTCCATGCGCCAGTGTGTTGCCATTCAGTAAAACATAATTTCCATAAAATTTTAAATTTAATCTTTCCGTTTCTAAGTGGCAAATCAGTAACTGAAAAGGAATAAGCGAAGCACTAATTTTTTTTCTACTTTTAATCTGATGGATTTAATTAATTTTTTTTTCTACTTTTAATCTGATGGATTTAAATAAAAATACATTTAAATCCTGAAATGTCTTACATGAAATATTAAATATTTAATGAAATCACACTAACTGGACTCGGTAAAATAGAATTAATATATGCCTGAGATAATTTATAAGCAAATGGGAGATAGATAAACCTTTGCCAATGTTTCAAACCAATGAATCTGAAAAATGGTAAGTTATGAAAATCAAATTCGAGACGTTGAAATTTGCAATTAATTAAAAGACATTGTTAAAGCATAATCATCCAGAATATAATTTCTCAATTGCACTAATCTTGTAAACGTTTTTCCTAAGAATTAATCACTATTTTATCTTAGTAAATGATTTAATGAAATTTTAATTAACTGCATTTATATTGTACTAATCATATAAAATATTTCTTTTTCAGCCGGAAATCTGCGAAGCTGATGTTACGGAAGGAGATCATGGAGGTACAGATGGTAAAACCCTTCTCAGATCTACATGTCTACAAGTCGAAGAGCTCCAAGACTAATTCCTTACCCGTGGAATTTTCTCAAAGTCGTCAGTCATTAGGCAGACACACCTCCTTGTTGACAAAAACGCACTTCTTAGAATAAAAGATGTTCTTAGGTAACATGTAAATCACGCGTGGTTAATAATATGCTCTGTATAATAAGAGTCTTTGATGCTATTATCAATGTTTAGCTAGAATAGTTGATATCGAAACACCCCTGGGACACAATACTAGAGATAAACTGTTACATTTCGAGCTTTTGTAATCATTCTATATGTTTTGTAATTTTTCAGTATGTCCTGTGCCGACATCATCTTCATCATTTACAATATTCTCATTTCCTACTGGTATGTTATAAAAACATTTTGCTGTTTCTATCTATAATTACAGTGATGAGAAAAACGAATCATTTACAATATGACATCTGTCTGGTATAACAACAAAGTAAACTGCAAGTGTTACTTCTTTGCTACAATATGTGCAATTTGGGAGTAAAGAAATAATTGAAATATTTAAGGAAATAAAAGCAAACGTTTGTCTTTTTAACTATAATAATCAAATTTAAAAATACCGATAAATTATACAAATAACACTATTTATTATTATTCAAAAGATGCAGCATATTTATAAAATTAAATATATGAAAATTTCGATTGTGTAAAGTAACGATTAATCTTTTAGTTTCATTTTTTATTTAATGAGCTAAAGTAGATATGCAAGTTATTGCGAATAATATTTCATTGGTCAAAAATAGCAAGGAGTAAACATTAAATTTTCCTTATTTAAACATATTTACCAATTGCAATAATTACAAAGGAATCCTAGACTATACCAGAAAACATTAAATTTCCCACCTAGGGTCCAAAACCAGAAAAACTGTTCAAAGAAGATCTGTGCAGAGTTTTATTTTTGAAAATAAAATTGATTTACTGATGTGACCAAGATTATCTTATTGTTCTTTCAATAAATGATCTTTCAGAAACACGGTGTCATCATTGAGACAGGCTAAACGTCATCACTCTTTTATTATTCAAAAACTGAATCAGTGAACAAGGAATCTAGTTCATAATCTCTTGTAATTATCTTATTGTATTGGTTTGAATAAGCCCCTGTTCGTCTGATATTTGGAATGAGCCACAATTAACCAAATCCAGAATGAAACAGCGCTTGAAAGCGTTAACAATTTCTATATCTCGTCTCGCCCAAATATGTCATCAGTTATTAATGTCAACTATTAAGTTAATAATGTCAGCCATGATTTGAAAATTTTTGAAACGTTAGACTTTCTAATCAGTACTTTAAAGATATGATCTTTCTCTCGAATGTGTTCAATACATATTTATAATGCAGATATATAAGTGCTGTATGGGTGATACGACATCAGGAGGCATTAGTCCTAAACACGTAAGCAAGACTTGTGTCTGCAAAGTTATGCAGATGTTTAATTCACTCTTTCTTTGGAGTTGCAGATAAAGTGGTTCTCAAAACTGAAATTTATTCCTTCCCTCCTTTATCATAGTTATTTATCAGTTGCGATCGCAAATTTTAGACAACAGGTGTTCGAAGCAATTTTGTATTGATGAAATTGATTCATGTCGACAAGAGCTTTTTTTGTCTCTAATGTCTAGAAATCCGTGTATGTGTCTTATTGCAAACATTCATGCGGACGCAGAAAAGAATAGTGCAGGCATTTGCTGCGAAAATAAAAAAATTTTCCGCTACTCGTCTTGCCATAAGATGGAAATCGTTATGATTTATAGCTTCTGGGTTACTAATCATTGTGTGAATATAGATTGTTATTGTTAAGGCAAGGTCCATACCATTGAAATGTAAGGTCCATAAGGTTGTTGTTGAAAGGTAAGGTCCATCCCATTAAAAGATAAGATCCATAAGCTTATTATTGAACTATAAAGTCCATAAGACTTTTATTGAAAAATATGGTTCGTATGGTTGTTAATGAAAGATAAAGTCCATAAGGTTGTTACTGAAAGATAAGGTCCATAAGATTGTTATTGAAAGATAAGTGCATAAGGTTGTTATTAAAAAATAAGGTTCATAAGTCTGCATGATGCCATAAGGGCCTTGAGCCATTACTATGATTACTAAGGTCCATCCCATTGAAAGATAAGATTCATAAGGTTAATATTGAAAGATAAAGGAATAAGGTTGTTATTGAAAGATAAGGTCTGCATGATGCCATAAGGGCCTTGAGCCATTACTATGATTACTAAGGTCCATCTCATTGAAAGATAAGATCTATAAGGTTATTATTGAAAGATAAAGTCCATAAGATTGTTATTGAAAGCTAAGGTCCGTAAGGTTATTATTGAGAGATAAGGTCCATAAGATTGTTATTGAAAGATAAGTGCATAAGGTTGTTATTGAAAGATAAGAGCATAAGGTTGTTATTGAAAGATAAGGTCCATAAGTCTGCATGATGCCATAAGGGCCTTGAGCCATCACTATGATGTACATAGTTGCATAATTCTCGTATGGTGCGCTTTCACCACCACTTAGCAAGGTTATGTGACTTATTTTCTCCTAGGACAGAAACCACCAATACCATGATCTGCTATTATTTGCTGTTGAAGACACTGTCCAAATATGATATATATCTAAAAGGAAACTGCTTATCTAAAATGAAACTGGTTTTTAGGGCAATCCAGTTACATCCTGCAAACGTCGAAGCGATTTAGCGGTAGAGGGTATTAGGTAAACATGCTAATCTCGTCTATGTTATTTTTTTAAAATATGTCCCTTGCTGTTATTTTTTTAAATATGTGCAAATCTTTATTGAACAGCGATTTAATTACAAACATTTTACAAATAATTACAAACATTTTAAGGCATTGGACGTACAGATAAATTACGAAGTGTCTTTTTAATTTAGTGGTTATTAAGATCTGCTTTAATCCCTTATGGGTGGAGATTCGAAATATTGACACATCATATTTAGTTTATTTTCTGCATATGCAACGTTAAAAGTTCCATAATATTACACATACAGCATATGATACACATTATTATATTTACATCATATGCCTTATTATTTACTCTTATTTCATGCAAAAAATGAGCAATACTGCTTAATCGCAACACCTTGTATTTGGCATTCATCTGAAGTTCATTTACATATCTCAGATAGATAATTTTAATTATTAATTTGTTATCGAACTTTTAAAATATGTATTACTGGATACTGCAAAGTATGGATAAAATTTTACCAGTTTTATATGAAAATTTGAAAGTTCAGATTTAATAGTAGTTCTTTTTAAGGTTTCTTCTATTTAGATAAACTGTAAACACTATTCTTACAGAAAATACACAAATTTGTTTAATATACACATCAAATAGCTTATGTGTAATTAGAGTAAATTTTATTAATATTTAATAACAAATGTTTTTATAATATGAGTATTAAATGTAGTTTTAAGACCCGGAAGTTACTTAGATTACTGCAAACTTTATTAATATAGCAATTTTTTCAAACTTTTAAGCAATTCATTTACCATAACATCAACCACTTACACACACACGATACATCAGTCAAGAAATTTATACTTTAGCTTTTAAATTTTATTTTAAATTCTAAACTTTATCTTTAGTGTGTATCATAAGTTGATGAGAAAAGTGCAGAATATTAAAATCAGAAGCTGTTCCTAATAAAGAAATAAAAAATTTGCTGTGTGCACCACATGACTTCCTTCTACGTAATATTAAATTATACACATTTTTTTGCTGAATTTCATTTAAACTTATTTCCAAGAATTTAATTGGAGATATATTTCTCATTCAGTTAATTCATTTCTCACTTTGCGGCAAGACAAAAAGGCATAAAAACTCAAAATATCTTCATTAAAAATTGAAAATATGGAAAAACATAAAACACCAAATACAGTTAAAACAATTAAAAAAATTACAATTAAAATTACAGTTTCTACGCAAAAACAAGCAACTCAGCCAGCGAGCAAGAAGACAGATTTTTCGGTGCAAAAACCTCAAAGTTTACTTTTGGTCCCACTCGGCAAAAAGACAATGAAGGTGCAGAAACTGACTTAATTCACTACTCTACCGAAATATTCAAACGTAAAATGGCGGTTCGTTTAGGCTTAACTCGCCACTGAAACTTTTAAATTGTTGATAATTCTACAGCTATTGCATACAGAATAACTAAATATACAAAAGCCTTAACTGGAACGTAGAATACGCATAATTCAATGACTTTTAAAGCAAAAAATGTACAATTTACCGAGATATAAGAATAAAGAAGCTCAGCTCACCGAGTCAGGTAACAGCGTGAGAATATCTACTTATCTCTCTCTCTCTCTCTCTCTTTATATATATATATATATATATAAAAGTCAGGTAATAGAGTGGGAATGTATATATATACACGACCGGGTCAGCCGATTGCAACGAAAAATTGAGGTGCACAACTACGTGTTATAGCAGTCTCTTATACAAAATTTCAAAGTTCTACGACTACTCGTTTTTGAGTTATGCGAGATACATACATACATATGTACGCATGTACATAAAAATATCTTTCCAATCCAATTTACATTTATACATAATCCAATTTTTACATAATCCAATTTTTGAATCTATCTTAAATCCAATTTCATTGCTTCGGCAAAAGCAGTCCTTTATTCTGTCCGCACGTACAGATGTCATGCAAAAACATCGTTTAAATGGTTTCCAGAGCGATTGAAATATGAAACACTAAATTTTTCGCGATTACAGTACCTCCTTTACTTCGTACAAGGACGTAAAAAAGGTTAAGATCTTACTGGAAATATATTTAAAGTATATATATATATACTTCTCTGAGTTCTAAGCACAACGCAACACCTGAACCCATTCTTAAGCAACTAATATGTATGGAAAATGCATATGATTAGTGAAATCATTAGGTATTACTATGTGCATAAAAATTAAACTTTGTAAAATTTGAGAAAAGTATACAGCATTATTTGGCAGAACTGTTACTACTGCTTGATTTTGAAAAATAAAAAAACATTAATTACTTAATACGATTTAAAATCTAATTAATGTTAGATAGTTATAAGCTGATGATATAAAATAAATGCTAATTTAATGAACATATATATATACATATATGTAAATATAATGTAAAACTAAAGTGATAGATAGTAAACACGTAAACTGTGAAATTTATAAATTGCAAAATAAATTATACTTCTTGCATTATGCATGGCAGAAATTCTCTTGAGATACTACGTAAGGTTTTTACTGAATTGATTGCATCTTATCAAGGAATACGACAGTGGTACATTAACAAATGCTCATACATTAAAAAAAAAACACTTTTTTACCTAAAGACTTAATTATTCAATCCTCAATAATTTAGCAAAGTCAACGCTTTCATTTTAGAGATAAATTATTTCTTTTCAGCACAGTAAATTATTATTCATTACACTATTTAGCTCATCAAAGTGAAATCACTATGCATTGTTAGTGAAAGAGCTAGTTTTTTGCATTATTTTCATTCACTCATTAATTTTATCACAACAAAACAGAATGAATGCCGTCGAAGAAATATTTCTAGGCAAAGCTAAAACCCTCTCCATTCCTAGAATATTCCTGCTCAATTAGAATTTATAATAAGTAAATAATTATAAATGATATACATTGGATGATATTAGTTTATGAAATTGATGTTATGCAGCATAGAGTTCATAAAAAAATTAAAATTATCTGATAAATTTTTATGACTTCAAAGCATTATCATTCAAAACAAGCCGTCAATAGATTTTTGTGGAAATGCATGGATGAAATAAATATAAAAAATCTGATGTGTACACCACATGATTTCCTTGTACGGAACATTAAATTATACACATTTTTTCTTGCATTTCGTTTAAACTTATTGGATTGAATTAAATCTACTTCGCCGACAGCGCATAAACCACAATAGAATAAATGCATTCTTTAAAATTCACATTATTTGTTTACCATAGCTACACTCTGGCTCTAGATTCACTTAGCAGTATTATATTTCATTCATATTATAACTCATAATGCACAAAATTTATATCATTTAAAGAATAGAATTATCTAATCGTTGCCACATGTTCTATTCAAATACTATAATAAAGCTAGAACGATGTATAAAAGAAATTAAGCAAATAAAACAAAAAAGAAACAGTTTTTCACAGACGATTAATTATTTCTCATTCGATTAATTCAGTTCTCATTTCGCGAGAAGGCAAAAATACATAAAAACTCAAAATATCTGTATTAAAAATTACGAAGTAAATCTTAAACACTTATTTCCTCGAAAAAATTCCAGAAAGGATTAAGCATGATTTAATTGGCAATAATAAATGAAGGCGTTATCTTTGTTTTGGCGAAGCTACGTTTCTCTAGATTGGCAACAAATCCACTAGTCTGCTGTTTCAAATGTAAACAAACAATGGCCGCCATCAAGAAGAGGGTTAGGCTTAGGGATTTACTAAAGGCATAAAAACCTTAACCGGAAGATAAAAACAACATAATTCAATCATTTTTAAAGCAAAATATGTACAATTTACAAACATATAAGAGTAAAGAAACTGAGATCACTGAGCCGGGTAGCAGAGTGGATATATATATAAATATATTTATATACGTTTGGTGCGGCCGATTGTAGCCAAAATACGAGTTACACATCTACATGTTATAGCAGTTCTATATACAAAGTTCCAACGTTCTGAGGCTACTCGTTTTTGAGTTATGCGAGATACGTACGTGCATGCGAGATACGTACGTACATACGTTCGTACAGACGCCACGAAATATTCTCTTCAGAATTCATTTTAAAGAAGTTTTATAATTTTTTGGAGGAAACGAGTCTTTTATTCTGTTCTTACGTACAGATATCACGCAAAAACATCGTTAAATTGCATTCGATAGCGGTCAAAATGGATATTTTCGTTGAAATATACTGCCTGAAACTTTTCGCGATTACAATACTTCCTTTTTACTTCGTATAAGGAAGTAAAAAGGGAGTGGTCTTTATTAAAGCTAAAACTTTTCTGTAACATTATGAATATATAGAATCACAGTGTTATTTTCTAGAAGACAACAGTGCTTTAAGAGAGGCTATGTAATAATGAAATGTGTATTGCAATTTATTGTAAAACGAACAATTATTCAAACATTTATTTTTACAATCATGTGAAAACATTGCTTAAGTTTACCCTTTCTGCTTGTTCAGTGCGTATAGTTTAAGCAAGTATTGGTTTTTAATTCACTTTTACGTACCTTAGAATCTAAAACGATCCTTACACTAATATGTAGATATATTTCTTTGTACGTGGAAGATTTGTAAATATCAATGTATGTTTACTTTTTTTTCTGGCAAATTTGTAATAAAAAATTTTCAAAATGCAAAGTTGTTCTTTTTTTCTTGTTGAGTATTTACAAAACAAAACAAACAAACAAAAAATATCAACAGAAAATATTAGAACTTTATCAAATGAAACTGCCTGGCAGTCATTAAAAATCGGTTTGAAAAGCATTCTGTTTTTATTAGTATTTAAACTAACACTTACTTACAATAGGATTTGTAATTTACATTTTATATTGCTTCATATTTGTGCAAGTGAAAACCAAATAAGATAATGCATTATATTTATTCACTAAAACTGTTTTCGTAAGTATCCCTGAAACAAAACAACTGTGATGAATAAAAACTGTGATGAATAAAAGAACTTTTAAGGCTATGCTTATAAATTGTAATTATTGAAATTTGAAATCTTTGAAATAATATTTATGTTTATATACAGGGTGTACTGTAAATGTTGCACCAAACTTCTAGAGGAGGTAGAGCACATCATAAGGATTAAGAATTGCACAGGGACCTATACAAGGAAATGTCAGGGATAAGTGGTAGCAAAGGTAGAAGATGGGAAAGGAAGCAAGGGAGTGATTAATTTTAAATACTTGTTGGACATGAATGCAAATGGTGTTTCGACAGCTTGAATGTTACAACAGATGCTCGAAGTTTGCACCATCAGACGTCAAACATGCCTGACACCAACGGACCATTGATTCGCGAATATGTTCAAACACACCGGAAGTTTCTTTAATTGTGGCAGCTTGCGCAAGCGAGTCTTGCCACGAGATACATTTCAGACACAACAGGATCGTGATACACGACACTTTTGATGGCTCCCCACGAAAGGAAATCCGGTGCTTAATAAATCCGGTGAGCGCGCGGGCCATGGAACCGGTCCACCACGCCCAAATCATCGATGCGGGATTGATCTGTTCGAATGGCTACGAACATCCAGTCCAAAATGAGTAGGCACGCCATCATGTTGGAACCACATGTTTGCGCCTCACATTTGGTGGAACATCGTCAAGCAAATCGGTAAGAACCTGCACCAGCAAGATCAAATAATTCGCGGCATTCAAATGGTCCGTTGGTGTCAGGCATGTTGTTGTCTGATGGTGCAAACTTCGAGCATCTGTTGTAGCATTCAAGCCGTCGTACACCATTTGTATTCATGTCTAATAAATGTTTCAAATTAATCACTCTTGCTTCTTTTTCCATTTTCTACCTTTTACCTCTGACATTTCCGGGCATGGGTTCCCCATGCAGTTCTTAAACCCTATGATATGCCCTACCTTCCCTAGAAATTTGTCACAACATTTACAGTACACCTTTTATATATGGAATTTCCTTTAAATTCAATATCTTTAGCACTTAAATATATTTCGTTTCTGAAAGGGGTAGCATATAGTATTTAAGTAC